CTAGGGTTGGTTATCCGGGGTGGTTGTCCAGGGGTGGTTGTCTATTTTAAACGCGTAATCAAGCCAAACAAATTATGTGTACCCACATCATTGAGGGTCGAATCAATGAGATTAAAGGTCAAGAGGAAGCCAAAAAAGGCGATGGACAGATCGAGATCCTTTGTAGAATGCACAAAAACAACGAGAGAGAGAGAGAGAGAGAGAGAGGGAGAGAGAGAGACAAAGAGAGACAGAGAGACAGAGAGACAGAGAGAGAGACACACAGAGAGAGACAAGCGCGGATCCAGGGGGGGGCCGAGCGTGCTTTGGCCCCCCCCCCCCCCCGCAAAAAAAAAAAAAAAAAAAAGGAGAGAGAGAGAAGGAAAAGAAGGGAAAGAGGAGAGAAAGAGAAAAAAAGAAGAGAAAGAAGAAAAGAAAAGAAGGAAGAAGGAGATCGGGGGGGGGGGAAGGACTTGCCTCCCTCCTTCCCCCCCCCCCCCCACCAATAAAAAAATAAAAGAGAAGGAAGGAAAGGGAAAGAAAAAAGATAAAGAGGAGATAAAGGGAAGGACAAAATAGGAAGAAGAAAAGAAAAGAAGGGGAATATCAGTTGCAATTTTCCCGCCAACAAGGTGTAGATCGGAGGGGGGGGGGGGGCGGGGGCACTGGCACACTGATAGGGGAGGGGGGGGGGGGGTTGGAGAAATAGAATTCAAACGTGGTTTATTTATAATTCCATAACGGTGGTTAACAAATAATGCTGAAATGAGATAATTTTCCTCACTTCATGCGTTTGTTGGAAAATGACAAATTCCTAAATTTACAGCCAGGCAAGAAAATGCTTCTTGAGATGCCTACATAATTTATCAGGGCCCGCGGAACGGCGGGGATCGGGATCCTCGAGCCCCTCCCCCACACTTTATTTGAATAAGTATATTAAAGAGAAATAGAAAGAAAGAGAGCGAGAAAGAAAAAAATGTTAAGTGCCAGTGTCACATTATAATGGGGTATCAAAATATGCTCATCTGACCATGATTAAAATTAATGCCTAAAATCCTAAGGGCTCTGCCCCTTGGATTCCACGCCAAATAGTGTCCTGCTAGTGTCACAAATAATAAGGTATCAAAAATGCTCATCTGACCGTAATTAAACGCCTGAAACCCCTGAGCTTCTGGGGGATCTGCCCTCTGGACCCAACCAAGAGCCCTTAGGCGGGCCCCTCGATACTCATCTGACCGTAATTGAGTGCCTAAAACCCTTGAGATTCCGGGGCTCCGCCCCCTGAACCCCAAGCCAATTAGTGACCTGCCATTGTAACAATTAGGTATCAAAATAATGCTCATCTGACCGTAATTAAATGCCTAAACTCCTGAACTTCCGGGGCTCTGCCCTTGGACCCCGTCTAGGGCGCTAAGGCGGACCCCTGAATGCTAATCTGACCGTAAATTAAAACCTTAAACCCCTGAGCTTCCGGGGCGGACAAGGTATCAACATATGTTCATCTGACAGCAGGCGCGTAGCCAGGGGGGCGGTGGGGTGGGCCCCCAATAAACGCCGGCCAAAAAAGAGAGGAGTGTAAAGGAAGAGGACGTAGGAAGAAAAAGGAATAGACAAAGAACATATTTGAAATTCAGACAAGGATTAAGAGTCGAGAACGGTACAACGAATCGTCTTCTTTCTCTAATGAATTAATGAAACGTCAAAGCTTCCGCGCTACGCGCGGGGGAGGGCAGGGGGAACTTAATTCAGACGAGGATAATTTTCGGGAACGGTACAACGAATCGTCTTCTTTCTATAATAATTTAATGAAACGTCGAAGCTTCCGCGCTTTGCGCGGAAGGGGGGGGGGATTGATTTAGACAAGAATTAAGAGTCGAGAACGGTACGACGAATCTTCCTCTTTCTCTAATGATTTAATGAAAAGTAAAAGCTTCCGCGCTTCGCGCGGGTGGGGGAAACTAAATTATTTTCGAGAGCGGAACAACGAATCGCCTTCATTCTCTAAAAATTTAATGAAACGTCGAAGCGGGGGGAAAACTGAATTTAGACAAGGATTAAGAGTCGAGAACGGTACAACGAATCGTCTTCTTTCTTTAATGATTTAATGAAACGTAAAAGCTTCCGCGCTTCGCGTGGGAGGGCGGAAACTGAATTTAGACAAGGATTAAAAGTCATAACGGTACAACGAATCGTCTTATTTCGCTAATGATTCAATGAAACGTAAAAGCTGTATTCAGACGAGGATTATTTTCGAGAACGGTACAACGAATCGTCTTCTTTCTCTAATGATTTAATGAAACGTACAAGCTTCCGCGCTTCGCGTGGGAGGGCGGAAACTGAATTTAGACAAGGATTAAAATTCATAACGGTACAACGAATCGTCTTCTTTCTCTAATGATTTAATGAAACGTAAAAGCTTCCGAGCTTTGCGCGGGAGAGGGGGATGAATTAAGACGAGGATTAAGAGTAAAAAACTGTACAACGAATCGTCTTCTTTTTCTAATGATTTAATGAAACGTAAAAGCTTCCGCGCTTCGCGCGGGAGGGGAAGAACTATTTTCAGACGAGTAGGCACGTACGGAAGGGGGGAGGGGGTTGACCCTCCCCCTTCGGTTCTTTATGTGTGTATTTTGGAGCAACCCCCCCCCCTTTTTTCTGTGATTTTTTTTTTTTTTTTTTTTAATCTAAAAAAAAAATATGCCAATTGCTGACCTTAAAAAGGTGACCTCACCCCCCCCCCCCCAACGGAACAAAATGTCAAATTTTCAAATTTCGAGACCAAAAAAAAAAAGTGTCCTCTTCCTTAATCTAGCCCACCCCATCGAGTTCATTTCTCCTTGGTATTAATTATCGTATACAGCCCCCCCCCCCCCTCCTTGTCTCTCTCTCTCTGCCTCTCTCTCCTCTCCCTGCCTCTCTCCCTTTATTTGTGTCACTCTCTCTGTCCCTGTTTGTATGTTTCTTCTCTCTCGTTTTAATTATTTCCTACATCTCTTTCCTTCTATCTTTTGAACTCTCTAACACTCAATAAGATACCACGGATAAGTGTTGAAATACACACCAAATAACATTTAATGGTATTCAAATCTTCATTTTAACACTCAGTTTAAAGAAACTTTGCAATATATAATGGCAAATAGTCATTAACATGGGCAAGGAACGCCAAACTCTATGAAACACAATTTCAGATGTAATAACGCAATAAATATATTGAACTTAAATAATTTTTGAATTGCTACACATTTTCAAGTTAATATACAGGAATTGGGCCTATTTACAATACAATTAAATCTATTTTTCATATGATTCAAAAAATCATTTTAAACTAACAACAACTCGACAAAAACACAATGGCAATTACATTCCTAAAATATTACTTTACAGTGTATATACATTTTTACTCATACTTTTTATCATATACAATTTGTTCTAATTCAGCCTCAGATTCAACATGTAGTAACAATAGTTAGTGTATGAACCTGCATCCCAAATAAAGACACATTCCCATTACGCTGTTATGATAATAATAATATACTAAACAGCTATTACAAACTGAGCAACTGCACTACTTATATTTAATTCACGAGGGGAAATAATCTACATGTACATCTTTAATGTTTTATTTGCAAGTGATTGAATAGTTTTCTTGGCACAAGTCCACATGACGCTTCAACACTTGGTGGCGCTAAACAACCAATTGAATAGTCTCAAAATCAGTGTGATTCCTAACGATTTAAAACAAAAATATTGGAACCAACTGAATCAAAATATACATACATTCAAATCAAATTCAAGTTAATAAACTCAAATCATTTTTAATATTTCAACTCATTTACATGTATGCATGTTTTGTCACTAACAAATTTACAAAGTATGCTTCCCTTCTCTCTCTTTTTTGTTGTCTCTTTTTAAAAGTAGATTAACATTTTTCCCCCTTTTTTTTTTGTATAGCCAATTTGGTTCTATGTAGATTTAAATAATTTAAATACACTTAGGTACCTTTCAAAATAAAATGTTACTGAATTATCATGAATGACTTTGAAATGATAAATAAATTCATAACTTCTACTTTAAGCACTTAAAGCAAATAAATACGATCACATTTTAATGGCATCTTAATTGTGAACCTGCTTAAATTTCATATTGTTTATATTATGTCATGTGTAAATAAAATTTCATTTATTCCAATGCTTTTATTCTGCCAAATCTCTCTCTATTATTTTAAGATTGGTCTATGACATTCGAAAGACAAATAAGATCATGTTTTAATTTTTGTGAAATTAAATCCAGGAATGTTAAAAATATATCTCACAGCCATTCAAAGAAATTTTAGTCAGCATTTTATTTAAACATTGTTAGGTGAACATTTTGAGTTCATACCAGTGGCCAGTGCCCTCATATCCTATTTATGCGTAAAAGTAGCTATACAAATTACATTAATCATGCAATCTCATATGTATAGATGCATCGTTCATATGTTAAGCTGCTATGTATACATGCATGTTTTATTTTAAAGAAGAATAGATCAAAGGAAACCTACACCTCAGTTATGCATGTCATGCACAGAAGCTAGTAAATATCAGTTGAAAGTTACTTGAAATGTGCAAATGTAACTTTCAAGTTATGCGCACTTGATTAATGAACAGGTGAAATTCCAAGGTCCCCCTTGATGTATTTCTTGTGGAACTTTTTGTTCACTAAACCTATTTAAATATCTGCATATTGGAGGATTGTTCATGTAATTAATTTGTTTTAAGTTTCAGTTCGTGTTCTTAACTTCTTCCTTTAATTACATATGGATTCACTAAATTATATTCTAGGAAAGGACTGAGAAGCCAAAACTGCAGATTATGTATAATAATTCAAGTCATGCAAAATGGAACCTTCCTTATTCAGTATGTAAAGACACAAAAATACAATTGAGATCTCCTTCAACATTAACAAGTTTATCAAATCAAACAGTTCTAGATACTCCCATCATAAAGGTAATTCATAGATGCAGAAACTAATTCAATATTGTAGATCAAGACTTACATTTCATTGGTTTTGATGCTGCTCACTTGTGATTGCACAAGTTTCTTATTGCACTGTGTGTTTGCACCTTGGCATTTTGGCTTATGGTACCTGAGAGAGGAAGAGTTACTCCATGCCTTACCACATTGATCACATACATAGGGCTTCTCACCTGTATGGATACGTTTATGTGCTGTGAGAACATCTTCAAGACTACATGCCTTACCACATTGATCACATACATAGGGCTTCTCACCTGTATGAATGCGTATATGTCTTGTGAGATGATGTTCATAAGTAAATGCCTTACCACATTGATCACATACATAGGGTTTCTCACCTGTATGGATGCGTTTATGTGCTGTGAGATGAGCTTCTTGATTAAATGCCTTACCACATTGATCACATACACAGGGTTTCTCACCTGTATGGATGCGTTTATGTTTTTTGAGATTATGTTCACTATTAAATGCCTTACCACATTGATCACATACATAGGGCTTCTCACCTGTATGGATGCGTGTATGTGTTGTGAGATGATGTTCACAACTAAATGCCTTACCACATTGATCACATACATAGGGTTTCTCACCTGTATGGATTCGTTTATGTGTTGTGAGAGCATCTTCACGATTAAATGCCTTACCACATTGATCACATACATAGGGCTTCTCACCTGTATGGATTCGTTTATGTGTTGTGAGAGCATCTTCACGATTAAATGCCTTACCACATTGATCACATACATAGGGCTTCTCACCTGTATGGATGCGTTTATGTCTTGTGAGATGATGTTCACAACTAAATGCTTTACCACATTGATCACATACATAGGGCTTCACACCTGTATGGATGCGTTTATGTGTTGCAAGATAATGTGCACTACTGTATGCTTTACCACATTGATCACATACACATGATTTCTTTGCTACATGATTCTCTTTATGTTTGACAAGATTATCGCTAAATGCATTACCATATTTACCACAAACATATGGCTTATTATCTGTTTTAGTGCTTTCAGGTTTGGTACAATGAATTTCATTAGTAAATTCCCCATCTCTACAAGTAGGTTTCATATTTGTTCTGATTTTATCATTTGAAAAATCATGGCTGGCTTTATTTTTTGAATCACTGCTCAAGTTTATTTTCATTACTCTATTAAGAGATTGAATAGGTTTTTGTATTTCTCCTTTGATGAACTGAAGAATGTCTTCCTTTGATACACCTGCCCGTGGGACGATACCATAGTGTCCGTGTTTGTATTTGAGATGCCTTGCTAAGACAAGAGGAATGGCATAGAGTGATCCACAGTACTCACATCTATAGAGCCCAGAATCTAAAATAAGATAAAGTATATGACAAGGTATAATAATGATATAACATAAATATGCGTACAAAAAAAGAAAAATCCAAATCACAATTAAAGCTAGTAAGTGATTGTTATTGGGTCTTTTGGTTTGTTTGTCTGTTGATGTTTCTGCTTTCATTTGGGGGGCATGGAATAATTAAAGTTCATTGAACATGATTAACTGCCTATTTGATAAGCAAGGGAATTATCATTTCACGAATCTTAATGAAATTTCTATTAATTCACACCGCAAGTTTCCTAATCAAGTACCTGTTTCAATGTTTAGTTTGTTGAGCTGGGATGTGATACCAAGATCCTTTGCATACTGCTCCCCATAGTAGACCAGTAGCTCCCTTCCTGGACAGATAGGTTTGAAGGTACGGTAGTAGATCTGACCAAGATACTGGAATGCTACAAGGTTCTGTTCTCCCTCATTGCGTGCACAGTTGATGTATCGCATCCAGTTGCCTGTCTGCTCACTGTTGCTGTCAACATAGTGGTGAGGTTTACCTTCCGTGCATATCTAAGTACAAACGTAGAAAAGAATGTAATTGCATTATATTTATGCTTAAAAATGTTATATTTAATAATATTTAGTGGATGCCTAAGCAAAGCTATGTTGGTATACAATCAATGTAAACATAAATATAACTATACTAAAAGTTTATCAAATGCATAGAAGAAAAAAATAACAATAAATTAATATTTTTGGGGAATGGGGTAATTTGTGACATCGCAGTGACAGTATGGATAATTTCATGGAAATAAATTGCATGAAAATTGTTGTGGAACTCAAGGTAATAATCTTCCCCTAAATCTGCCTATTTTCAAAAACCATATGTATTAACTTCTCAAAGGAAATGTATACCATAATACAAATTGAAGCCACTTTTATCAAAGCACAGTACAGCATCTCTTCTTTTCTATTCGGTTAATTTTTCATTACTGTCAAAACTACATGAGCAAGATTTGCTTTTATAACAAATTAAATAATGCTCAAATGTAACACACATTATTGTTCCATAATCATAAAGAATTTATTAAAGATTCAATATACCTCCCAAGCATATCCGCTATCATATCCAGTCTCTAGGTCCACAATGTCTCCATCGTACGGACCAAACCGGTATCCTTTAGGGATGAACTTGGTTGCAAAGATCCCCTGACCAGCCCCTGGTATTGATGACTGCTTGACCACAAGACCATCTGGTAGAGTCTTCCTTGCTCTGTCTTTAGAGCCTTTAGCGATGGGGTTGTCCTTGATGATGGTAAGGGGATGCTTGGAGCACTCACCTTCAAAGACCTCATGACAATCTTCACAATCTGTAGGGGGAAGGGATAATAGAAATTGATTAACTATTGAACATCATCATCAATTGTGTTTGTTCCTTACAACCTTTGTGTTGTCAAGGCTGCATGGAAGGAATTGTGTTCATTAGATGATTCACCCCTGATTACATATGATATATAAATGTTCATTATGCAGAACGAATTGAGTTTATTTCAAAGCTGATCCAATAAATTAGGTTTAGAGTAGTCTGTTTAATAAAGAAATGCTCTGAGAAATTCATACATTGTACATGGAGCTTCACAATAAGGCCTAACAAAAATATTTCCGACCAACAGACCCACGTTTAGGCACCTACAGGGCAATATAACATCTTTCTTTTTTTTTAGGCCTAATTAACCTCATGAATTTGAAGAATTCTATAAAAAAAAAAAAAACGAAAAATATACAAATGACCAACAAAAACAAATGTGAAATAAATAAAAAACAAAAAGAAAAAAGCCAAATTCTCTCTTGTGTTTACTTACAGATGTAGTGATCATCGTCAGGAACATCATCTTCTTTGTATGACTTGCGGCTCACTGCTCTCCTCGGGTATCTAGATTGTCTTGGGGATGATTGGGGTTTCTCCTTTCTCCTGTCTGAAATATAAAAAATAGGGCCAAATTGATTTAATTTTATTCCAAGCTTGTTGTTGATTTTAGATTGATACTTTTTTACCTGCCAGACTGGGTATGAATTTCATGTAAATGTAATTTTACAATGTTTCCCTCAGTTTTATCCGGTTCCCTAAATCTTCAATTTTCAAACTGATGGAAATACACGCTTTTGTTATCAGGACTGACACAGAGCATTAGAACAGGATGAGTTAGAGACTACAGTTTTAACCAGTACCTCGAAAAGAAGGCAGGGTGTATTTGTTTCATATCTTACATCAAATATTGATAATCAAGCAAAATAAGTCACCTTTATATTTGCTCCTGCCTCGTTTAACAAACTATGGTCCCATAGAGTATAAAACACGCTTGCTTACATTATGTTTTATCACCTGACGCAATGTTACAGCGGCGCACAAAACGTTGTGATCTTTTAGATCCGTTAAATATTGACCATACATTGCGAGACAAACAAATATCAGTAGCAATATTATTTTCAAAACCTTAAAATAGTTGAAATATTTCTGGTCAGGTAAAGAGCTCTTGGCCAATCAAAAACCAATACATTTTTTAAGCAGGATATGATAATAAATATTATCACACTGAATCACTCTAACTTTCATTCAACTGGAAAAGAAAAATATAATATAATTCACAAGGAATACTGCAACACTGTCTGGAAGCCTAAGCTTATCAAAGATGAAGACAACCTGGAGAAAGTCCAGCAACGAGCTATTAAACTCATTCCAGCGATTAACCATCTTAGTTACCCGGAAAGACTCCAAGAACTTATGCTACCAACACTAGAGTATCGAAGGCAAAGAGCTGACCAAATCCAACTATACAAGATCATGACTGGACGAGAAGATGTACAGAAAGAGGGATTATTCTCTATGAGCAAAGAAAGTCGGACGAGAGGTCACATCTTCAAAGTTGAGAAGCCACACTGTAAAACAAGTGTTAGACGGAGGTCCCTTGCTGTTCGATCACTTAACAACTGGAACGGGCTACCCATATCGACAGTCCAAGAGCCATCTATTAACAGCTTCAAATCTGAACTAGAAAAGCATTGGCATCACCATCCTCTCTAATTACCCTTATCAACGTAATAAAGCTGTGATTGCCACGATGGGCTCATAAGCTGAAACTTCAAGCCTCAACAAACAAGTTAACAAGTAAGTAAATGAAAATCAAAGCTGGAAGAAAAAGTTAATATTTTCATACCAGACAGAGATTTTGCCTTTCCACCAACTTTCATACAGAATGATCGGGATTGCTTGGGAGAATGGTCGCCTCCTGTAGCTACTTCTGCCAAAGTTTGCTCAGTCTTCTGGTCATCTGACCGAGTGTTTGGATCACCTGACTGATTCCCCTGATCACCTGATGATGCTATTGGATTGGTTTGTGGTTGGGTGGAATCTGCATAGTCCTTCCATTCAAGGAGATCAATGATTCGCTCTCCCCCTATATGATGAGCATCATTGAGTGGATTGCCGTCATCATCATACACAGTCCCTGATGTTACAGTGTGCTAAATGAGAAGAAACAGAATATGAATGTGTTAATGAGCTCCTCTGGCAGTCACACGTATCATCTCTCTCTCTCTCTCTCTCTCTTCCTCAATCTCTGTATTTTACCTATTGTTTTCTATTTATTACAGTGTAATGCAATCAATAAGATGGTTTTCTTCTTCCCTGAGGCAATATGAAATGCCAGGGGGAAAAAGTATTTGGGGAAAAAAGGTTTATAAATTCACTTTTTTGGTATAGTACATCTACATACATGTATGACAGGACTCGATAAATAATAAGCAAATAGTGATTTTTAAATGTGTGCAGTGATTATCATGGATAAACTTCGGAGTGATCATTTATTTACATATACAGGTACTTATGCATGCTTACTGGTTTAGGTTCGGGCTGTTTCTTTGTGATAACTGGTTTGTTTGATTTGACTGCAGGGGCCCTGAAAGGTGCGCTAAAAGATCCTGTTTGAATAGTGAAGATAATATAGATTTGGGGAAAGTGAAGAAGAAAAAAAATGATTAATTGTGTCATCAGTACTTACACATCTTCAGTAGATAGCAAAACATTAAAAACATTTTTTGAAAGTTTAGAAATACATGTAGGAATTTAAAGGTTAATAGAATGTCATTAAAATATCCTATTTGAGTAGTAAAGATAGTGCAGGAAGTACATATACACAAAATAAAAGAAAGATCACTGTTTCATTATTAAATTACATATGCATATACTTGTAACGAAGTAAATATATATGTGATGCAGTCAAATGTTTTCAACACTATACTCTTTACCTATATCTTGCCATTATGTTGTTTATGCATGCCATTGCTACTATGTTGCAGTCCTCTTCTTTTCTTTTTCTCCAAGCTCTCTATCATTCTCTCCTCTTTGCCTATCCCTTTCTTCCTTTCTTCCTTTCTCCCATTTATAATGTATAATTGTATTTATGTATTCGGGCGTACCCACTACAAGCTATGTTTATCGGGTTTCGCGCCTTCTTCCTTGTAATACAAGTTCTTTAATTATATTTATGTTCCTACTTATAAATTGTATTGTTTGGAAGAAATAAATGTTCATTTGTTTATTTGAATCTTTATTAGATAGCAAAGCAAAATATACATGGATTTCTATTTACGGCAAAATAAAAATGAAAGTTTTGTCTTCACTACCGACTCATCCTCATTAAGCACCACAACATAACAAAAAAATTGAATGGTTAAAGAGCCATTGACGTAATACAGGTTGTGAAAAGATCCTGTTTGCATAGTGAAGATAAAATACTTCTTCGGGCACAAAGTAAAATAAAATGACTGTTTCGTTAATAGAAATTCCACATCATCAGTACATAACATGAGCCAGTAAACAGTCCGAGACTGATCTTCTGGCCCTTACATTCTGCTTCATTTCATGCAAGAACATGTAAATGATTTATCAGTGTAGAGTGAGGAACAGATGAACTAATGTCGAATTATCAGGCCTAAAATGTTCTATCGACTGAAAATGTTAGATTCAAGTATTAATCCTTTCTCACAATGTTATAGACTTAAGACAAAAATCTGTTGAAATATTTGTTCTTCAATACCTGTTTAACTTTTTCTTTGCCTTTTTGGGCTTACACTTCCTAATCTTTAGTATTACTTCTCTACAATCTTAAAAAATTTAGGTGCAATTTCACAATGTACAGAGTTTGCTTGAGAATAATTCAGACAGATAAATCTGTACAAACCTCTTGACTTTTTCTTGGCCCTCTTTGGCTTCCACTCCTCATCCTCACTATCACTTTCCTCTACAAGCTGTTTCTTTCTTCCACGACGAGGTCGCATGAAATCTGGGGGACTAACCTTTAGTCCTGTGTACACAATGAAAATCAAATAAAATGACACCACTGTTAATATGCAAATTTTATAATCAAACTTTTCTCTCCTATTATTAGGGGTAGGGGGTATTGGAGGGGGAAATCAATGTCAGTAAAAATGCAGCATTTAGACTTTCTTTACGTTCTTTGCACAAACTGTACATTATATTTTTGAATTGCACGTTGAGTTCAAGAGACAATTTATGTTTTCCTTTTTCTTTCTTGATATGAAACCTGTTTTACGCAAAGACTCCTTTATTTAACTTGCCATTCATGAATCCATGTAAAATTTTCAGAAGAAAATAACAAATTTTCTTTTGCCATTAAACATCATATCCACCGTATCCTATGCATACAAAAATATAACCAAATATTTAAAACAAAATGTTTAAACAAGTCTTTCTTAGACTTGTTACAGTCGAACATGTACAAACAAAGGTAGAAATCCCTACATCATACATCATAAGACTAGAGTTGTTTATTTAAGTAAGATTTGAAGGTAACATAATTAATGTTACTCACCAACTTCAATCATCATCTCATAATTTTCTTTGATGTTCTTGAGACGAAGTTTCTCATAGTCACTGATCTCTGCCCATTCCTTGGCTGTGAAGTAAGCCTGGACGGCTGAATAATCATCAGTTGCTGGTAACGGCATGATGGCAAATACTTGAAATAGGGCGTTACCTGAGGGAAAGAAAGGAAAATGCCAGTTAGAATATATTACATGTAGATCTAGATCTATTTTAATATTTTTACATTTTTAATATTTTTCCTTTTTTTAATATTTTTTCTTTTTTAATATTTTACCTTTTTTAATATTTTTCCTTTTCTAACATTTTGGCCCCCTCTTTTTTTTGCCCCCCCCCCCCTCTCTTTAAATTTATCTTTAAGTTAGACATAGATCTAGACCCCTATTTTTCCTTTTTTTTTCCTCCTCCTAATTTTTAATAAACAAATAAGTCCCTTTCAACCCCCTTTTTAACTCACTTTTATATCCCTTTTATTGCTGTCTGTCATGAAAATGTTGGCTGAAGACTGAAGTTAGAAGTCTAAGATGATTTGTAATCGATAAGAAAATTAGAGGTCTACAAGACGGGTAAGTTGCGGGGCCTATAAACTATTTCATGATATTGCCTATTAATCACCTTCAGAATCACGAGCAGTAAAAAATAGTTAGATCTATTGGTTTGAATCTCATTTTGGCAATAAAAACACTGAATAGGGATGTGTTCAATCTCTATGGGAAGGATTTAGCACACAAAACTGAGTTCGCGATCAGCCACCCTAACCTTAGACCGAAAGCTTCAGTCTCTATAATCGTCGGTTGTTCCACTGAGACTACGTCTGGCTCCACTAGACCTCCGGTTATAATATAGGCGATCGTTCAGTCTTTATAACCGGAGGTCTAGTGGAGCCAGACGTAGTCTCAGTGGAACAACCGACGAATAGAGACTGAAGCTTTCGGTCTAGATCTACCCTAGATCTAACCTTAGTTCACGCACGGGGGTTCACAGTCATAGCTGATTTATTAAAAAATTTGATCCATCAAAAATAAGGTCATTTCATAATTTGCGAGGCAATAGTCTATAGATCTAGACCTAGATCTAGATTCTAGGTCTAACAGTTAGATCTAGGCCTAGGCTAGAGTCTATTTCACCCCCAATTCTAAAGAAAATTCCATCTCTGGATAATTGTAGATCTAGACCCCTATGTTCCTATTTCCAATGGTGATATCAGATTTTCGAAATCTTACCGATTTTTAGATAGCGGACTTAGGTCACGCGCGAACTATGGTCACACCACAATGCTTTGTACAAATAATTGAGGCTGTAGATCTAGGCTAGGTCAACTATGCATGCATGCACTGCACTAGCACTGCACTGCACTGTATTTTGTAGGCCAAGGCGTCATCGTACGTATTTTACTAGTAGCCTAGTTGGACAGCGCTAGGCTAGCGCAGCTCAGGGCAGTTTTTATGCCTGGATCAAAATTGAATGTTAAACATTATATCATTCTATTTGGGTTAGACCCCTATCTCTTATGAAGCTATATGTTTCACAGATATGAATACATATACTTACGCTACTGATTCTTGGATAATAGAACGAAATTTCGACAGAAGAAACTGCAAAGCATCCGAGTCCGGATCCACATAGCACTAGCTAGGCCTACGAGTACTTCAACATCTTCGAAAGATATCGATAACTCTTTGATGAGCTGGATCGATAATTAACTACATTAATGTAGATTATAAAATGGCTCTAGTATTTTAAGCATCGTGATTGGTCAATACGCGTCACATGACATTGAAAAAAATTTGATGCAAGCACGATTTTGCAGAAATGAGTGCAGAAAAAGCGCAGTAAAAAGTTATATTGCACGGTGCGTACGCGTGACCATGGAGATCATAGTGCGCGCGCGTACGTGTAGTACGCGCTCCCTCGAGTGCATTGCAATTATTGTAGGCTACGCGTAGCTAATATTGTACGCTCCACCATGATCCCCAGCGCAACGTACGCGTAGCTTAGCTCTAGCTAACTAGCTAGAGATCAGAGCGGCCAGCGCCAGCGGGGTATTATTAAAAAGCAAATTTTTATTTTACTTTTGCCTTGGATTTAGGCCTGTTTTGACTTTTGGATTTTATAATGAAGCCAGGAATTTCAGCTGTCTGATGTAGACTCGTCTCTAGACCCACTGTATGGATTTTATTTTTAATCAAGGCAATGAATCCCATTGACTTTTTGGTAAGCCTGCAAGGGACTCTTAGTCTAGAGAAGTAGAACCAACATAACTCTAGATCTAGATCTAGATCGAACTCTCGTAGACTCTAACTTATTAGATCTAAAGTTTCGTTTGTTGCTATTTGTGTCGCTATTTTATAAAACAAATAACGCACTTGACCCTGTTGTGCAAAACGTAAATGCAGTAAATGCTCGGTTTCTTCAGATGGTTCGCACTGTCAACTCGCCGCAAGCGGCTCGTTGCACAGAGCGGCACCAATCTAAAGAAACCTCGCGCGTACTGCATTCACCGCTATTGCACTCTGGGCCGTGCGTTATTTGTATACTTGTCGTCTGGTACCGGGTGCCAGTCAGATCGCTGGTTGTTCAATGTTATCTTTTTTGGCCCGGTCTTGTTGTACCCTTTTTTTTGGGGGGGGGGGGGGGGGGGGGGGGGGGTAAAGGGGGAAGAGGGGGGTGTTGAGTAAAAGAAAAAAATAGATTTGAGAGCGGGGCTGGGGCCCCCATTCCTGGCAAAATAAAACCAATGGTAACCACAATTTTACCTTTTTGGGGGGGTTAAGGGGGAAGACGGGGGTGTTGTGTAACTTTTATTTTTAGTGCTCAGTATATTTTTACGACCGCCAAATTCCGGTTGTTTTTATTCGTATCACTTAGTTGATTAGTTAGAACCTAAGTCAAGAAGATGCTGTTTGTTTAGATTTCCATATCAAAAATTGATCAAAAATCAGGTCGCATGCAGGAATATCGTAGAGTGTGTAATAGGCTTTTCACACTTCCGACTTTGCGTTATCATAAACTTGAAATAAACCACCCTGATTTACTTCTGCATTATCCCGACAAAGTAGGAAGAAAATGCAATACAAAGAACAGGTATTGACAAACAATATTATTGCATTCATGTTTATTTCTTAAGAATAATATGAAATGATTTATTACTGCTGAATACGATAATTACTAATTTCATTAGAAAAATTGTATAACTTGAAAAAGAGAAGCAAACTTTTGACAGAACTACATGGTATAACAATGTAAAGTTTGCATACAATAAGTACGCCATCATGAAAATGAGAGCTGATACCTCATCCCAAAACAAAGTGAGCGGAAATCTGTATAAATACTAATATAATCTATGTTTATATACATCATAGTAGCTGTGCAATATTCTGGAGCATGAAAAATTTAAAAAAAAAACTAAATTTGATTTCTTTATATACAAACCCTATAGTGATAGGTTTGTAAAAGAAATCAAATTTATTTATTTCATCACATGCAAGTGATAGAATTCAGTATTTGGACTACATTGTACATCATAAAAAAAGTATAAATTCATCGTTGTGCTTTATAGTTGTGTTCTCTCTCTCTCTCTCTCTCTCTCTCTTTTATTATCTTTCTCGTGTCTATATCTCTTTTATTCTCTTTCTCGTGTCTATCTCTCTTTCTCTCTCTCTCTTTGATTCTCTTTCTCGTGTCTATATCTCTTTTATTCTCTTTCTCGTGTCTCTCTCTCTCTCTCTCTCTCTCTTTGATTCTCTTTCTCGTGGCTGTTTCATTCTCTTTCTCGTGTCTATCTCTCTCTCTCTCTCTCTCTCTCTCTTTCATTCTCTTTCTCGTGTCTATATCTCTTTTATTCTCTTTCTCGTGTCTATCTCTCTCTCTCTCTCTTTCTCTCTCTCTCTCTTTGATTCTCTTTCTCGTGTCTTTATGTTATATATTTCCTCTCTTCTTTGTTTTGCCCTATCACCTTGCTTCACCATTCTTATTCACCCTTTCATTCTCTCTAATTGAAAAGTACCCCAAAAATGAAAGCATATAGTCAGTGAGGAAAAAATATATATTAGGTCCATATTATGTTATGTATACGCCATCTGCAGCTCATCACAATGTCCCGTTGCATAATATTATTGGTAGGTTTGCCATTAATGGAAACTTCCTTTGAAAAATCTTGATTTGATTGGCTTTTGAGTGATGTTGCCATGGTAGTTAATATTTATAACAGGGTAACCATCAATAATTGTATGCATGGGGCACGTGTCGAAAGTAACCAGAAATTGATATTAATAATTATGTACACATTCACCGAAAGATGGCGCAATTGAAAATACATCAATATTGCAAATAATTATGTAGTATTAAACAATCCGATCATCATTTTAATAAAACGGTGGCACATTAAAACTAGTCCAAATGTTGTTCCTTGAGAATCTTTGAAATCACTGTCTTTAAAACTGGATACGGCCCATGAGACAACAGACCAACAATAAAATTGCTTGTTGATAATTTTCCATTGGGTTCACTATACGGATATCGTCGGCCTCGGAGGGTGTCGGTCTCACGGGCTGTGGGTCTGCTTACATTTCCAAATACAAATTACGGTTCGGGCATAGCAAAGACTTCGTTGCTCACTCCGCCTGAGGCTTCGGGTTGGTTCCTTACCGGCTCCTTTGTATCTCCTCCGCCAGTTCTCTGAAGAAGGAAACAAAAATTGTTTTAATTATTAGTCAGCGTACCTACGGGGATACGGGGTTAGAGCCCCCCACCCTCCCCTTCTCCTCTCCATTTAAATGGTGAACACTAAAATGCCAAATTAAAATGGGGGCAAGGGTGAAGGGAGAGGGCGAAGACATGACAAAATAGGATAGGACGCCCTCTCCCACCCTATAAATTAATAGAATACAATTTCAATGCCCTATTATAATTATTTCCATATAAACCATGTTCAGATTACGGTATATCATGTCATGTCATGTCATGGGACGTACAATGCTATAGAAATGGCCGTGGGTTGATTTTTTCGAAGTAGTTGCAATCGTGTTAAAGACAAATAAAAAAAATATATTATATAAATAGATCATGAAAACAAATAAATAAGTAAACAAAATGATTAAAGACAGGTTATGTACACATGAAATAATTATTTACAAAATTAATTGATAAATAA